AAGAAAATGCAAACGATCTCTCACAGACTCCTAACCACCTTATCTTGCCTTTTCCAATGCTCATTGCCTTTCCTTATCTCTAATTTAAGTATTCTGTCAGAGAGTATATGCTGGAAGAAATCCAGAGCTGCTGTTTTCCTTAAGAAGAAAATATTTTTCTGCAGTACCAGTTTAAGATGGACAGAAAGCAGTGGCAGAGGCCTGACCCTGAAGAAGGCCACACTTTCCCAATACAGTATATCTAAAAAAGGTTTTATAATTGCAGGGAAGAATTCCTAGCTAAACAAACAGTATTTTTTTCAATCACAATTCTGTATGGTCCCCAATAATAAGGAAACCTGGTTATTTTCAGAATTCAGCTCAAAATAACCCAATGATAATATTTGCAAAGAAGCAGGCAATATCCCACAGTCATATGAAGCTCCATAAATAGATTCATTTGACCAACTGCTTGATGGCAAAAATTATTATGCGTTTGTTGATATTTTTATAATACTCTGCATTGTTATTACTTTTCACTTGCTCATACTTCTGCTATTCTATAGTTTGAAACCAGCAGCTCTGCTTTCTGTAAACAGCCTGCAAAGCAAATAGAGCAAGTGACTGCGTTAGGACTGTTTGTTTTGTACTGTTTGCTGTTCTGCCGCTCCCAACTTTGGACACACAATGTTAACACTCACACAAAAGCGGTTTCAGCACAAACGATAAAAATGTGTGCAGGCACAGAGAAACCACTGCTCAAGAAGAGTCTTCCCTCAGTTCAGCTTCAGCAGAATCATTAGAAGAAAACATGTAGTAAAAACATCCATTTTAATCAGCTGAATTAACCTGCTTGTGTGAGTTACAGGAGCAGATGCGTGTGACATCACTGACACTCCTGTGTCGCCCATAATCAAAAGCTCAGACACAAGACACTTTATCAAGGTATTTTTGTCAAAGAGCAAACAAAGGCTTTAAACAAATGTTTTCTCATTACAGCATAGTTCTTGCTTCTTTCTTTTGTAGTGATGTTAGAGACTCTTTTGTCAGAAACATTATAAATACTTTGATGACAATTTCAATTTCATAGATTGAGCAGTATCATGTCAACACTAGCCAGAGGAGTACAACATGAAGTACTGATGACCATCTTCCAAAAATCCAGAAATTGTCTTCAGGAAAGTAGAGAACTTGGCTTAACTTTACATTACTGTAAATGTACATCGTTGACTTTACAGTTTCAACAGCTCAACTAGAAAATAAATATAATGCATCTGAGAACTTTCAGTGATATACTTGATGAAAACCAGTGAAGTAGAACTAAACTCATCCAGAAAATTTAGCTTAGAACTGCTGTCATACAGTAGGACTCCTCATACCAGTATTCTGTTGCTGAAGTATTTAACATTCATCTTTGTACTACAAATCAAACTACACATTTTCCCATATTCATTAATTTATTATAAAATTCCGTGAACTTAAAAAATAGATGCTTTTAAATGCATAGGCACAAACGCAGAGGAAAAAAAAAGTCATTTTTGTCACAACATAAGTGTCTTGAGAAATAATATACCTCAGAGGAATCTAATCCCTTCCATCTATGTGTCACATAAGAGAGAGATATTTTTTCTGATCCTTCTCTACTTCACATCAGTGCTGTGAAGTACCAGCAGGAAAATAAAAGTAATGGTTATATTTTAAACACTTTAAAGTGATTTTAAAAAATGCGATTTCACTTACCTAATTCTTTAGAAACTGGAGAATCAGCTGATATATCCCCAATCTTTGCAAGGCTATCATAATACGCTCTTCCAGCCACTACCATAGCTTGGGGGTGGAGGGAAAAAAAAACCACAAAAGAGTGTTGAAAGTCAAAGTCAAAATATTTTCCATTATCCTTACTTTATGCTCCTACAAAATCTCGTAATCCAGGGCACATAGTAAGAGAGGGGTATATAGCAATAAGGAAATTCTGCTACCAGAAAAAGTTCCATGAGTCGCTGAGCTACAGGCTAATTTGTGAAACCAGGTGACAAAGACAGAAGACCAGACTACATGAATGGAGTGAGCACCCAGTGGGTAGATTTAGCCATAAGCCATTGGTCAGGACCTAACAAAGTTCCTTGGTACAGATAAAACCACTGGAAAACCAGAAATGCAGTCCCAAACTTCCTAGAAATGCCAAGGTCTCTGCCCTGTACTAAGCAGCCAAGTCACATATCTGAGAAATGGCTACTGGCCACGAGACAAGGGACCTACAGTTGCCAGAAGGAGACAGGGAGCCCTTCAAAAGCAAACCATCATTTATTAAGTTAGATGAAAAAGTAACTTGCTTAAAAAAAAGCTATGATGGAATGCAGTTGCTAGGTGTGACAGATTTAAAATAATGGTGAAATGTGAAAGGTTGGATAAAGTCATTCCTAAAAATTACTACCATTTTGGATAACACTGTATAGTCATCATCTGTCATCAATTACAAGTTCTTATCAGAACAATACATTGCAATAAGAGGATTCTATATATAGACACTAACTTTTCCACTTTCCAGAAATTTTAGGCCTTAAAAGTTAAAACTTCAAAAATGAAATCTCTGAAAGATGACGTTCAGGTTATGGAGATAATCCATTTGGCATTCTTTTCTCAATTTTCAATGTACCATCAATACCTAAAATCATTATAAATTACATTGTTCAGCAACGTAATAAGCTAAAATGGTGGAAGATCTCTGGTTTCTTGGACAGACATGAAAAACTAGCACTGATACATACAATTTCTGCACAGAGTTATTTTGACAGTCCAGGAAAGTGACTTCTTTTGTCTTCATTACTGAACTCTGGATGGCAGAGAAAATCAGTATTCCAAGTACTTTAAGCAATAACAACCTCAGGCAACAGGTGTATATATAGCTTAAGTAGAAATCTGAAGGCTTAACATTCCCAACCAAAAAGACAGACCCTAGTTAACACTTGGATGCTCCTCTTTTTATCCCTTCAGGACAGTTCCCCCCCTTTTATGCTTTATAGTTGGGGTTTAGCAATTCTAGTTTTACAGGCGCTAATAAGCTCTTCTTATATATCACTAAGGTTTCAGTTATTCTCAGTTAATCATTTCCTGGTTATAGCTATTTTAGCAGCAAAGCTAGTTGTGCTAGAATATGAACAGGGAAACATCAGCATTCAAACTGCAAGGAGGCCAGTAGTGAGAAACATTTTATGTATGTAGTAGATCTGCAGTTGTTGCCTTGCATCTGCACAGTATTTAGAACTGATCTGCACAAAGAAATAGCAAGGACAAACTAGCAAGTACATTTTCAACCTAAAGTAGGAGCCAAGGAGACTCTCACTGCTGACTTTAGAATACTTTTTTTTTCTGAGAGGAACATATGTGGCAATTGCCAACTAGAGTATTTTAGGTTTGTATTTTGTGATTTTTACTAGCAAAGGTAACAACTTTGATTACCTAACTATATTCACTGAGAAACCTGAAACTCTTCCAGATGAAACAATGATTGTTTTTCAGGCTTTACTGCATTAGACAAGAGTAATTTCTAAGCTGTGTCTCACAGGTGCTCTATATTCAAACTTTCTCAACAGAGAAACAGTACTGGTGCCACTGACAGAACGAGCAGTATGCCACCCATATGCAAAGATTTTATGCCATTCCAACTCTTCCTACCTAATGTTTTCTGGAGATAGCCCCAAGTCAATCTTTTGTCTCAATACAGGCACTAAACCAGGAACAAAAATGTATGATTTCTCCTGTGCTAATCAAGCTAAATCAAGAACTCCACTTGGATAGTCTCTTCACCAGCTCTATGGCTAGTAAACAACTTCGGCAGAAAAGAAGTTTTGACCTTTTATGTTCAAGATGTATAAAAATACATTCTAAATCTATCAGAAGGTCTTGTGAGCGTAACGTTGTCAGCCTACTCTGACTTGTTTAGAAATCTGCATAGTATTTGTCTAGCAACAGAGTATTTACTTCTTGTTACAGACCTATTTATACCACTCCGAACTGATGGAGAAAAGATTAACCATTTATGAGTCCAAAGAGGACTTTAATGTTGTTTCTCAACAGTTGTTGCAACATTGTAAACATTTATTCACTTGAAATTAAGCACTCATGCTGGATATGCTTTATCAGCCAGTCTTAAAAGACAAACTTGCTACACCACGGTTTCCATCAGCTTCTCCAGTGCTGCTGTGCACAGTTATGTTGTGACAAGTTGAATTAAAAGAGAAGCAGCACGATGTAACTTATCAATAGTAAAGCATGTGAAAAGCAGAACCCTCAGAAGAAACTGGTATAACCATTTTTCAGTCAATTGTGGAAATACTTGTTATTACTTCTGGTACTACGTATAATCCCCAAGGTTAGGTATTAGGTAACCACAATGTTAATCCATCAGGTTAGGCATTACTGCATGCAAGTCAGCATTTCCCTATTTTCATCTTCAGCAGGTTTTAGTTTCATCTTGTTCTCAAGCCTGGTCTAAAATTTGCATGAAGAGAGATTTCAATGTCTATTTGGCTATGCACTACTTCTGCAGTATCACATTTCTCAGAGTACTAGATTACACATAGGGAAAAGATATGCCACAGACTTGAATGAGGCAAAATTAGATTTTACATCGCTTTAATATGGTATCAAGCAGCTCAACAGGTCTGCAGAGGTGAAATGGAGCAAGCTCTAACAGGTCCTACAATAAGAGCTTTGGGAATCCAGGGCCCAGTCCTCGAAACCCATTCTTAGGCAGACAGCTTCTGTGAAGTCAATAATGGAAGTAAACATCCATGTTACAAGAAGTTTGAGAGTCTGGGTCCTTGGATTCAAATTTATTCATTCTGATTTTGACTCCATTAAAAAGATACTGAATCAGATTCAGTATGGACAACGAAAAAAAAATTAACCCACTCCTGCGATATTTCCAGAGAAAAAAAGAAAACTAATTTACATAATTTGTTTTTTTTTTCCCTTTTATATTATTATTCTAATGTGTGTTATTTACACTTGATGTTCAGTTTATTTTGCAGTAGCTCTGTGTTTAAGTGTTTGGGATGCAACTGTTGCAGGACAGTTAAAAAACCTTATGTGGATTGGGTACACATGTATTTGTGCTTTTCTGTTTTTTTTTTTTTCCTAATTAAACACATCCAAAGTTCAACTTAGAAATTAAGCTTATACACAACCCTCATATCCAATATGCATATTTAAATGAAATAAATATAATTTTAAAGTTAGCACCTAGAAGACTTACCATTAACAGCTTTTTCATAGTTCTTTCCCAGATTTATTAAATTCCTCAGTCCTGGATTGAACTGTTCCATAACATTCTGGAACAGAAAAGAAGATTTGTGTTATAACCAAGGCAGTTCAACAGTGGATGGAAGTATTTATCTCAGTGTCACTTAGGTCTGTTTTAGGTTTTGCATGTACAGCGTACATCTGAAAGGTCTGGATGGGTGAAAAACAGAAGACTTGGGAGGAAGAGGAGAGCAAAGCATGGAAGGGAGAAGAACTGAGCAGTTAAGATCAACAAACAGGAAAAAGAAAAGGTAAACTTTCCAGTGGGGTAAAAAGAATCTGGCTGTTCATAATACAAAGAGATGTCAAGTATGTGATCACAGCTTGCACAGATCCTTCTCTTGTGGTAGGTGATGGTGAAATAAAAGGGACAGAAAAACCTCTACCCACTAACTGTTTTATGAAGTCAGACAGTAACAAGAACCTTGATTTGAGTTCTTGTTGTGCCCCTGCTCTGAGCTGAAAAAAACCTATAATACTAGGAAAAGGAAAAAAAGAAAAGAAATTCACCAGGTAACTGATCAGGGGAGACAAGTGCTTTATTTATCTTTTCTAAGTTACAGAGAGCATTAAGAGAAATCAGTAGGGGTTTTTTGTTTGTTTGAAAATACTGCATTTCCTTGTGCAAAGCTGTGGTCCTTTCAGCAAGAAAATGATGACCTTATTTAAATAGAAGGAGAAAAAAAGTCCACTGCAGCTGCTTTGGCTGTTAAATACAATTATTGGCTGAAACAGCCAGAATCTGAAATCCAGCAGCTCCAAGCATGACTACTCTCATACCTAGCAAATTCTGTGAACTGATGAAGTGGTAGAAATTGCGACCGGAATTTTCACAGTGCAAGAAAATAGCTACACTATTAAATAGAAACATTCCAAATTTTTGCAAAAAGTAGAAAATAAGTTAAGCATGATGCATGAATTCAAATTTGAACTTGCCCAGAGTCGGGGGGTGATGAAGAGAGAAGCAGCAGCTTTTGCTCACCCAAAAAAGAAAATCACTCACAAAGTCTGAGTTGTCCCTACTCATAGGAAAGGTTCAGTTCCCTTCCTTCTGGTCAGAGACAGAAACTCTCTCCCAAATCAATATTCCAGAATTACTTTTATCTTGTTATTAGCACTGAAAAAGAGAAAAGCTGACATGCTGATATAAATGCAGTAGTCATTCATTCCTTGGAATCACGCCCTTCAAGATGTCTCAAACACATTTAGCATAAATAGTGGTATTCCAAAGTATGGTATTCCTGGATGTTGCAATTAACTTCTGAACAATGCTAAGTAAGTTTGAAGGAGAGCCCCCTGAGCTTCACTTACTTGGTGGTTTCTTGGTTTCTTCAGGTAGAATCACTACCTGAATTGAAACACAGCATGTTTGTTTAACAAAACCCCCTTTTGCATGTATGTAAATAACTACCTTGAACAAGTATTCTAGAATTTGCCATATGTGCCTGGTCATTTAATAGTCAAGTAACTGCAATGTTCTAATCCTTTCTTTTCTCTCTTCCATACAAACTACAGTTTCATTTAACAGCAACTACTGAGTCTCAGGAACAATTTGGTAAAAAGTATTTTGTATTACATTTATTTTTCACAGAAGCTCTATACTTCCACAGAGGAAAAACTTTAATGTTTTTGCAGCTTCTAGACCTTGTTTTCCCAGAATCTTCCTAACAAAACTATACCTGTGACATTACGTTGTAAAATTTTATTGTCATGAGATACCTGAAGACACCATTCTGCTATTCTATTTTATGACAGTGTTTTTATGACACAACTCACATGTTTCTAGATACTGTTCACAGAGCAGAACTTTCAAGTTCCAGGAATTCAAAACAGATGCTTTCTGTTTACAAGAAATACAAAGCACAGACAAGTGAAATAGTCTCCAGTTTTTGTCTGTTATACTACTAACAGAATGAAAATATTTCCATTTAGTATGTACATGGATCCAGAAAGAACAGGAATATCATCATCACATTTGTCTTATTTTCAGACAAGGTCATTCAGACAGAACTTTACTATTATTATTCAAATAGAATGCTATACCTGAACTTCAGTCAATTTAAAAAGTGAAGAAAAGAATTAGCTCCAGATTTCACCAACTCTACTTTAGCAGTCATATTGAATAAAAATAATATAGCTATTAAACCCCCCCCCCCAAAACCCTGTTAGGTTCTGATGGTGGTGTAGTACATATGACATCAAAAGCAGACACAGAACAAGAATGCCTAGCCCCACTGCCTTTATTTGTACAAATTAAATACAACTGGGATTTATTTCTGGTCTTACCATTAAGCTCTTACCCACCCAAACATGATCACTGCAAACAAACTACCTAGTGTCCTCAGGCTCTTGATTTGTGTTAACTCACAAACCACATCCAGAAATCATTTGGGAAAGTGTGTTTCAGGTTGGGCCAACAATGCCAAAGGCTATTCTAACAACAGTATGGAATTTCAAGCTCTGGTGTCTGGGAACATCCTTCCTTCTGCCACAACTCTTTAATTTACTACTGTAAATGTTGCTGCTGTGCCTCTTTTGCCCTCCCTGCAGCTGAGGCAGTGTGACTGTGAGGCTTTTGTTCAAGCGGTGTTTCTTCCTACTCCAACTTCTTGCCATTCCTTCCCAGCAGTGTACTAAAGATGATGTCTCTTGGCATACGTGGAGCCAGTGAATCACAAGAAAAAAAGAAAAAAGGGTGAATTAGGGTATTGTGTTAGAATATAGAGTCCTGTGTTCCAAGGATATGGAGGGGGAGGAAGGTGTATATGATGTAGAAACCATGTGTATCCACGGCAGGTAAGAATCCCAACGCCATCTTGAATTGCCACATGACACTGAAAATAACTGTCTTGAAAGACAGCTCCTGTCCCTACTTACCCTCCTCCTCATAACAAGGACTTAGAGTAAAAACCTCACTGCTTCCTACCCAAAAACTCTAACAGTAACATGGCAATTATTAGTCTCAAAACACTGATTTTGGAATGACTGTCTTAAGGATTCAGGGGTTAACATTCCAGTTCTCTTGCCATCTAATTCAGATTTCAAACAGAAAGCAGGGATTGCATCTCCATCATTAGTTGTTTTAATTTAGGAGGAAGTGAACAAAACCCAACAAAAATGCCTTCAAAAAACTTCCCTCTCTGAAGTCAGATCGCTTACTTTCACTAGCTGATTCTATGCATACTGAGCATTCATGTATAGCAGCTATAGATCACACTGTGGAAACACAACAGATCCACTGAAACACACCAAACTCTGAGGAAGAGCTCCAGTCATCACATCTGCTCAACATATACGTAAAACTGCTCAAAAGTTGAAGAAACAATTTATAGGTCACTGCCTTTGGTAGCTGAAAGGCACACAACTAACGGATCTTTTCTCCATCAGACCAAGCTGCCTCTGGAAGATTTTCAGCCTTTACACTGCCACAGTGGTTGATTGTTAGCAGAAGCGTCTGCACCAGTGAACGCCCGAGAAGCAGTAAAAACCTTTGCAATGGAAATTCCCCTTTGGAATTTGACTGGTTTAATGCAGGGTATGGTTAGCTCATCCTCACAGTGCTGTGCAAGGCTCATCTACTTTCCTACTAAGAGTTTGTGATAGACTTAGCTCCCCCTCTCCCATCCACGCTGGGTCTCCAAGATGGTATAACGAAATAATTCTTAGATGATTTTCCTCTCTTCAGCAATATAGAGAAGCATAATATGTGTTTTTTCTTTCTAGATTCTCAAAGCAAAGAAAAACCTGGCTGTGCTTCTAGTGCTCTTCTTATATAGTTAACCATTGCTGCTGCCTTTGAAGTACTGCCCAGGAACATATATCTAGAGCACATTTTCAAAAGGAAAACTGTCACTGGCAACACTCTCTTCAGGACTAGGTATAAATTTTATAATTGCCAAAACATTTTAAATCAGTTAAAGTGATTGTAATATTTTGTTCAGCTTCAGAAGTTATAGGGGAAAAGAGCCACTCAAATCCATCTGTATAGCTATTTTTTTCATATGATGTCTTACAGTTGTACAGCTTCTCTTACTTGCAGTCTAAAGAAAAGGTAATGAAAATGAGTGGGACTGAACACCAGTGCAAAACTGCAAGGCAGACACTGCACCCAGATCTCAAAAAAAGCAGAGACAGAGGAACAAAGAACTTCTGATCAAGACAACCACTAATATAAAATTATCAAAAGTCTCATAAAATATCACAGTCTTGTTATGTGCCATGCTCTACAATGACATGGGAATAAAACTTTTATCTTAATCCAACTAGACATCACAAAGCAAAAAAAAAAAAAAACAACCTAGGAGAGACAATGGTTCATAAGACATCATTTGTCTGTGCAGTGAGGGACACACACTCTGCTTCCTAATTGGCAATGAAGTGTCCTATATTCTAGTGACACACTACCTCTCATGAACAGAATAATTTACCAGAAGAGGAGGCACATGATCAGCTCCTACAGCTTTCTATTATTTAGGATGAATGGAAATAAAGGGAAACACTTTCAAAACAGGCAACAGGAAACATCTTTTTACATAGAGAATTTTAGAGTTGGCAAAAGTGACCTTCCAAGAAAACTCAAGATAAACCTGCTCTGGTCATTTGAGTCATTAAACCCTCATATAATCTGGTATAAGAGCTGCTATATGCCTTTCACCGCATGAAGCCAATGCGAGTTAATCAGCCTGGTAGAAAGGAGCTGACTGAAGCCTTGTATTTCCACTTGTTGTGTGTAGGTATTATATCTTCTGCAGTTCCTGATAGTGATATAAACAACATTAATCTTCAAAACAAATGACATCCATTGTAAAAGTGCCTTCCTGTAAATGCTCAGCTTTGCTTTTTACTTAAAGACACACCTCACAGAACAATAGCTCAGCAGGTATGAGTACAACTAAACAATGCATAGACTCCCTGTAGCTTCAAGTTTACATCCTGCAGGCACTTTTGCAAGAGTGGATAACAATGTATTTGGGTGGAAATCCGAAACTATAGAAATGGCACCGAAAGAGTAGATCTTGATGTCTAACATTACTCATATTATCATCAATGTATATATTTATAGCTAACTTTTGTATAGCTACTAATAATTTAAATTGTTATCTCTCAACTTGGAAAACAGTAAAATTAAGTTTTTGGAAAAAGTCTTCAGTGTCTATGTCTGAAAACCCAGTTGCGAAGATCTGAAGAGCCATGTAGAAGGTAAATCATACTGCTCTCTACTGTACTTGGAGTGTTTTATACATTATTGCATTTCATTTCCTCCTTTAGCTTTTGAAATCCACAATACAGTTTTCAGAAGGGTGCGATTAAGCTCTCAATACATCTCATGTTAAGCTATCTCAGCTGTAAGTTAGCTTAATATTGTTTTAAAACAGGTTTAACAGAATGGAAAAAAAAAAGGTCAGGATGCCAGTGTTTATTCAAAAAGACTGATTCTTATGACTAATTATTAGTCACCTTGACAGAACATTTCTTGATTAATACAGCAATTAATCATCCATCAGTGCATTTCAAATACAAACCTTTTCAGGTTATGAACATGCAACCCAGGATAGACTCTAAACAGGAATAACTCTAAGTAAGGTCAAGAGATAGTATGCACTAAGATAGAACTGGACTTTATACACATGAACTCCCAAAGGCTCCACTTCCCCAATGTCAGATTTACATTTCAGTGATGCAAAATAACAGCCTTAACTGCAGCACGTGCTAGGACCACAGGTGAATTTTAATTTTGGTAAATAAGTCTGGTAGTTTAATCTCATTGCAAGTCTTTTTAAAAACACAGGGATATAGATTCGGGACATGGAATTTGGGACTTTAAAATGAATTTATCAGATATATTTTCATGATAAAACAATATAGCCTACCAAAATAATCATACCTACCCCCTTAGGCAAACACAGCATTCCACTGAATAAAGGTTGTTTAGATGCATCCTGATTTTTTTTCTAATTACACTTTGGTTGACAATCAAAATTTCTGGGTAAGATTTACCTGAATTAAATAAATCTTTAAAATCCAAGATTACCAACACCAGTGAATTGCAGCTATCATGCTATTATCAAGTGCTCCAGAAACCTCAAACCATGGGAGCAATAAGGGAGCTGGCTGCCCAGCCCTTTGACCACATAGACAGAATGACAGGTCTGTAACTCAGTACTTTCCTGTTTGGTCCCCTTTCCCCTGCACTGCATGTATCACAGTTGGATGCCAAATAATTTTCCCCCACATACAGCAGACAAAACAAAGCTATAAGAGCTGCATTGACACACCAACATGTAACATCTTTCTTGGGGTTATCAACTGTATGAGGGGGTCATACAATGTCCCTCCAGAGCACACCACATGGCTGCAGTGAGTTCAAGGGCAGAGCAGTGTCATACCAGCGAACCCCTCAGCAGTTCCTTGGTAAAAGGGAGGCTGTGGCCCTCTTTAGTCATAGGCTTCCACGCCCTTTGGCTTCATTTTGCACGTGCCATTCCTAACGCATTAAAGTGATTCTTCAGGTATTACATAAAGAGTCAACGTCAGCCTTGATTTTTGTGTGTGCACACATATATTTGTAGATTATGTTGTTTATTTAGTCAGGTTAACTAAAAAAAAAATAATAAAAATGTTGAGGTATTCGCTTTCCGATGTTGTTGCCAATGAAAAAGATGAACAAGGTAAAAATACAAGGTCATTACTTAGCTGCCCGATGACTTCTGTAAGTGTATTTTGAAGCTTTGCATAACATGGGTTACTATGTACTGAATAAATCCAATGGATTAGCACTGTAAGAAAGGGAAAAAGGAAAGCAGACTAGCATCACATTCAATTTCATTCTCTATTATTTTTCCAGGTCACCCAATTTTTTTTTTAAATTGTTTTTTTGAGAAGTCAGAAGCCTGTGTTTGGTCCTGCAGCATACAGATGCCATCGCTACACCACACTGGTTTTCCCATACCAAGCCCTTCTTACTGGTAGGAGAAACACAAACACTGCTCCCGATTTTATCATTACCAGCATGGTGTTTTAAGTGCTGGATTGCTAGGATGGCAAACAGTAAGAGCAGAAGTTCCATGTGCATTATTAAGCAAAGGAGAGCACACTCACCTTGCAGCTAAAGCACAGCACAAAGAGGTGTTCATTTGTTTTAGATGAGGGAGCTGTGATTAGTCACTGCAAATGCCAAATACACAGAGTAGTGCTCCCTGCCCGTAAGAAGTGAAGGGCTATTTTCAAGATTTCAACTTTGATATAGAAATAACTGCTTTAAAGTAGACCGAGAATCCATTCTCTGCCTGAAGCAGCCTTTATACCTTATCTGGATAAAGTTTCAACTTTTAATGAGGGCAGGGAGGGAGGGTTTCCAGGCCTGTGAGTACGAGCTATGTGATGCAATGCACCAGATCGCTCAAAATACTCACATGGAAGACATTTCATCACACTGTCAACATTAACTTTGGATTACTGGGCTTTTGCTGGTAATTTCAGTCTTACGTTATCTCCTTGAATAAGTTAAAAACAAAAAAACAGCAAAAAGGTAAACTTTCTCAGGAAATATGTACTGAAAAACCAGGCAGGTTTTGTTTATTTAGAGGTCTGTCATCCTTTAAAGCCTATTTTATATTATACCTGTTACATCACACAGGATATTTTCTTCCCTCTCCTCTGTAAAGCTGTATTAGCTACATTCTGGAAGTCAATAGACAGGGTAGGACATTCCTTTGTCGGCACAGCCCTGAACAGTCAACTTTGCACATTTCTCTCCTATGAGCCTGTATTTACAGGCTGTTCTTCTGAGAAAGATGAATTTATATTTGCTTATGGCCTTGCCATGAATGTAACTGATACCACAAATCACCAGACCGTTTAAGATGACCTGCATCAAATATAGAGGACAAAATTTATAGGCAAGTAATCTTTTTTTTTTTTCAGTAGTTTTGCATGAATTTGACATTTAAATCCAAAGAAAGTAACTAGCAAATACATGACACCAATATAACTGGACTACTTGAAGGAGTAAAGTTACCTTAAGAGTGTTGGAGAATAACAAAACTAACAGCAAAATACTACAGTAAATACTTTCAGAGACCTTTAAATGACAACATCTTCATAAATATGAAAACATTCATTAGTAAACCAGTAAGATTTAATTGTAAAATAGAACAATCCCCCAGAAAGCTTTCCTTTCAGCTCAAAGCTGTGAATGAACTGCAGCTGCAAGTTCATTTGCATGATTAAATGCATTTGCAAATTTAAGTGCTTTCTCTAGTACAACACACAGTACAGAATGAAGATTACAGATCCAACACTGCCATTGCTACTTTGCCAAAAGGATGGTTCTTAGGGAACTTGCACAGTTAAAATTGGTGTGTTTTGGAAGGGCTGAGTTTATAGAAAGTTTAATCAGCAGCTACTGCCCATACGCAAAATATTTTAAAACCTACAAATAGCGAGGCATTTTGTAAAGTTTACATGCTCGCTGACATAAACTGGACTGTCCTCACCCACCGGTGCTGTGAGGCAGCTAGGGCGTACCTTCAGAAATCTGATTATCAGCTCGGGACCCAGGCAAGCAACTGAAGTCAGCGCCAAGCTGTTTTTAGGCTCTGGCCCGTACGAAGAAACGGTTCAAGCAGAGGACCACAAGCACCAAGATCTCCAAACCACTTTATCAACAAAACACACTGCGGGCACTATGACTCGCTGGAGAACTGTGCCTGCTAGAGAGGGAGAATCCAGCCTGAAAGCCCGCCTTGTCCGGAGCTGTCTCTCTTGGCTCTGCGGCCGCGGGCAGGACCAAACGGGGCGGGGGGGGGGGGGGCGAGTCTCCCGCTGCCTCCGTCCCGGACCCCTTCGGGACATTTACGAGCGAGCACCGAGCCGCCTTTGGCACACTGCGGGAAGGCGGGGGGGCGGCGAGAAGGCTCACAGGGGAAGGAAAGAGGAAAGAAAGAAGTTCGCTCCGCTCCTGCGTGAGGAGCCGAGGCTGCGCTGCACCCTCCCGCCTGCCCCCGCCTCAGCCGACACCGGAGCCGGCCAGCGGGGGCAAAGGTAGCCGCCGTGTCGGCCAGGGCGGCGGCAGGCAGCCCCTCCCCTCCCGTACTCACTTTGTAGGTACTCTCCGTCAGCTTGTTCACCTCATCGGGGTCCCGGGACATGGTGACTGCGGGGAGGCGGCCGGTGGGAAGAGCTTCGTGCTCCGGAGAGCTCTTCGGCCCCAGCCCAGGGCGGCCGCAACAGACCGAACTCCTTCCTCCGCCGCTAAGAAACTGTCAAAAACTTGTGGAACCAGCTGGGCAGGGCCGCCGGGGCGGGGCCTGCGGGGCCGCTGCCGCCTGACGCGGCAGGACTGGCTGGGCGGGGCGGGGCCGGGATCGCCTTACCTCGGTTCCCCTCAGAGGGAGGTGTGGTTGGCTTCGTACCGCCTCTACCTGAGCTGTTGCTGCCACCTCCTTCCTCTCTCCTTTCCCGGTGGCCGCGGGAGGCGAAGCGCAGCCGGAGCCCTGTGGAAGCCTCTTCAGGAGGCAGCCGTGCTGCGGGTGCCCAACGAAGGGGGAAGTAAATTCTTCCTCACAGCAATTAAGTGAGGATTCTATAAGAATTAATGGATTAATCTTGTTAGGATTAATTAGGGTAGTCCTAGGGGTGCTAGTGAGGCTGGGGTGGTTCCTGTTCTTTCTTCCACAGTAGCACCACGTGAAGGAGAGGGAGGGAGTTTCCTCAGGGACTCTCAGGCAAGAGCTAAAGTGTCTTTTTCCAGAGTCCTGGTCCAGTGCCTCACCCGAGCTTCATGCTGTATGCTTAAGTTGAAGATTTCTTTTAAATATACACCAATAAAACAGTGCCCCAGTCATCTTTACTGTGTGAAATGACTCATGAGGCCTCCATGGGGGGAGCAGGGTGAGGAAAGCTGGGATAAGCTATAAATTTTTGTGGACCATAAATTGTCCAGAGATTGTGAGATTAAGTATGCTAGTTGGAATAGCTTTCTGATAATGTAATACCAATGCTATCTTGAAGGACTTTGTGGGAATTTCATAATCTTGGATATTTTAAAACTGAGATGCAGTGCGAGCTATTGAGTGCGTGAGGCATAATCAACATCCTTACACGTTGGACATCCTTCTCTTGGTTGCTATCTCTCCCTCTGATTCCCACACTTTATTGCAGCAATAGAATAGTGTCAGGCAGGCAACAAACACTGGACTTGGAACAGTACCATAGATATTGGACTCTGGTGTGGGAGGAGGTTGTTACTGAGTCTCAATAGCTGTAAAAATGTTTTAATTCAAGCACATGGAGCTGTTTATGCCTTTAGAACTACAATTTACCTTCTGGAAAAAAAGCGCATAGTTGGAGCATTATCTTGAATACAAGCAAAATGCTGGGCAGAGA